CCCCCCCCCCATTTCCATGCCAGATTTCAGTTGCCGTGATTTCAGTTTTAGAGTCCCCAAATAAGGTGGCAGCCCTGTCAATGTATTTGCTCCCTATCTTTGCATGGAGAGTTTGTCTTGATGTAGAGGTGGACTCTCAGGATAGCGTGGGATAATGGGATATCCCCTCCATTTTGGCCTCAATTTGAGAGCTTTTTTTGAGCTTGGGAGTTGATTTCAGAGAAAACCAGTGGCTCCATCGTGTTTCTCGCAAACTTTTACATAAGAATCAACAGTCAAATCGCAAATCCTTCACACTTGCAACATCTCCATTGTTGAAATTCAAACTTCGCGCAACAGCTCTAGCGGCGGGAGCCGAAAGCCGAGTTCTAGCCGAAAGGGTCGGGAAGAGCATACCTTCGTTTCACTTACCTTGCTCCATACTCTCCCTATAAAGGTTCTCTACACTGTACTACCCCTCCGAGGCGGAGGCCAAAGAGCGGCAACTTTGCGTCGGAGCGTGTTCTCCGGGCGGGTCGTCCTCGCCGGTGGAGGAGTAATAAATCGAGTTATCGTCACTCAATTTTCAAGCGTTTACTCCGGAAGTGAAGCTCCCGTCCGGTCGTTCCGCCCCCGGCTTCGGCTCCGTTTCACTCTTTAATACACTCCACCGGACGCGCAGAAGATTCGGATCCTATTTATCTTCCAGAGCGGCATTAGCCACCGGGAAACCGGGTGTATCTCCAGGGCTGCAATAGAGTTACTTGTAACTCCGAGGTAGGACATGTGGATTCCATTTCTGGTCGGTCACCATATTTCAGACCGAAATGCAGGGTTGCCTCAGTCAGGGGAAACTGGGAAATGTCAGGGAATTTTTAAAAGTCAGGGAAAACCTGGAAGTTTCAAGAAAAATGACGAAAGTGTCTGGGAAAAATAATTGAAATAGCCTTCATACACGCTGGCCTTGTCGATTTCCTTTGACAATGGACCACCAGACAAGGCACGAATTCAAGCATTCTGATACATGTTTCGTAACCAGAATTTCACGTAGAACACGATTCGCGCAACGAAAATTACTGAAACCAACTCCTGACGAAGATATTAACCTTTTTATTTCACATTGGTTACGCGGATTTTGAAATGCCCGCTCAGAAGAAACTCAAAGCTCTATGTGAGTCAAATCGCGCACTACGACAGTTTCAGCAAGCCTCTCAATCGAGCACTGTTCATTTCCCACCATGTGTTGATCAAATTATAAGCAATTTGCCATAGCTGAGCCAAAGCGTCAAAATTGAGATTGCCAGATTTTTATATCGCAGAGACTGTCATGATAATGTTCAGCGCGCGATGTGAATCACGTAGAGCATTGAGTTTTAATGAGCGGGTGGTTTGAATTCACGCACCAGGAATCATTAAATATCTTTGTAAGGAGTTGATTTCGGTAATTTTTGTTGTGCGCATCGTGTTCTACGTAAAATTTTGGTTAAAAAACATGTATCAGAATGCTAAATTCGTACCTTGTCTAGTGGTCAATTCTGCAGTCGTGAATGCAAAGCTGAAGTGCGCTCCAGCTAGAATTGAATTTAGCAAATGGGTGGTTTTTATACGAGGATTAAAAATAAACAAGTGGTACGGAATTTAACAAAAGAATATGAAGTATGCAAAACGATAATCCGGGTATCGGAATATGGCTGTTTTGAAAACGCCTTCAAACGCGGCATGATACCTCACGCATTCCGGAGAGTTAAAATAGTTGTATCATTGCGCCTTAGAAATGCGACGGAAGATCACAATCGAAATATCCTTCATGCACGCTGGGCTTGTCGATTTCCTTTGACATTTTTGCAGTTGTGAACGCATAGCTGAAGTGCGCTCCAGCTAGAATTGTATTTAGCAAATGGGTGGTTTTTATACGAGGATTAAAAATAAGCAAGTGGTACGGAATATAACAAAATAAGATGACCTATGCAAAACGATAATCCGGGTATCGGAACTTGGCTGTTTTGAAAACGCCTTCAAATGCGGCGTGATACCTCACGCATCCCGGAGAGTTAAAATAGTTGTATCATTGCGCCTTAGAAATGCGACGGAAGATTACAATATTGTTAATTCACCTTTATTTGCTTTCTAGAATGGGCTCCGAGGTAGGGCTCTGGGTAGGGCATGTGGAATCCATTCCTGGTTGATCACCGTATTTAGACCTTTATGCGGGGTTGCCACAGTCAGGGCATACCGAGAAATGTCAGAGAATTTTTAAAAGTTAAGGTAAACGGGGAAATTTCAGGGAAAATGACAAAAGTATCTAGGAAAAATTGTCAATTCACCTTTATTTGCTTTTTACAAAGGTCTTGACGTATTATACAACAAATTTTGCCTGACACTACTTCAAAATATGTCTTTTTAACCATCTGG